CTGAATCCGTGTTATATCGGGTCGCGTTATATCGGGGTAGAGGTGTATCATGTATAAAACTAAAACTTAACTTCCCAATAAAATAGCTTTTGGGGCTCGTTGCTGAAAATGTTGAAAAGTGGCTATGGTCTGGAATCCAGACACTAGCTATCCACAGGCAATTTAATCCTGCCTGCACCTGAGCCTGCACCAGCCCCCCCCCCCCAACAAACAATCCCCAACTGATGTGAATGAGCCATTGATATGAGAAAGAGAGCAAGGAGGGAGATGCAGACAGGTTTGTTAACCCTTTGCAGACCGCTTGCCCAGGCAAATCATTCAAAACTTATTTTGTAGTGAAGTGTGGGGAAAATATGGTTGAACACTTAGTTCCAGGAAAGCTTTTATATTTAAAAATTACTGAATGGTTGTTGTCCCTCTCTTCCCCCAGTCCCCCCAAACTTGCAAAACAGAAATTCACTGGGAAGTTACTTCCATTGGCTTCAGAGGGCTTTGGATGACGCCCTATGACCAAGCAGAGAGAGGTAGTATTTTGAGACAGTTGCCAACAAGCCAACATAAAGTTTTAGAGAGGAAGTCACATTTCATATATAGTGTCACTTGTGCAATGGGTTGCTGTCTGTTATTCACAGGTAATCTAGGAAGTGCCAAACTGGGTCAGACCAGAGGTCCATCTAATCCAGTATTTTGTCTCTGACAGTGTCCAGTACCAGCTACTTCAGAAGAAGGTGTAAGAACCCTGCAGTAGGCGGATGTGGGATAATCCTCCCTCTCCTCCCCCCGCACATTAGATCTATTCCTCATCTCAGATGGTTCAGATTTAGCTTAGCCCTGAAGCACAAGGTTTAATATCCCTTCCAAAATGTATTCATTATAACTAGGACCCTACCAATTTCATGGCTATGAAAAACGTGTCACAGACCGTGAAATAAGCCCTTCCCCATGAAATCTGATCTCCCCCTGCTGCTAGGAGTGCCCCGGCCAGGGGGCTTCTAGTTCCAGCTGGGCTGGCGGAAGGACTGGACTTGTCCATCCCCTGCACAGCTGCTCTTGGGGGTAGATCATCAGACCCACCTCCACCTCCAGGAACCTCCTGCAGCCAAATTCATTCTTAGTGAAATTCCACCTCCTTAGATGAAAAGTCTTTACTCATTCCACTTGGCCCTTTATTTGTCAGCCTCAGAACATTTTTGTTGTTACTTTAACTAAAATTGCTTCTCTCATCTCTACTTTCTTTGTCTATTTCTATTAGAAAAATGTCACCCCTTCAAAATATAAGCATTATAGATCTTCTGCAGTGTTTCCAGGCATATCAGTCAAACATTGCTTGCTGCATCAAAGCTATATGAACAAAGAATTCTGATACAGATTTACACCCATGGAAGTTGGCTAAAGAGTATTTTACATGAAACAAAGGTAATAAAAGCCAAAACAAGTTATGCAGTATTGAATGAGTAATTTAATGAGTAACACAGAAATGACAAATGATTTGAAAGTAATTCAGGTGACAGCTCTCTATTTGGTATTAGGAGAACATTTCCCTATCCTATAATCCTTCCTTCCTTGTGTGATAATCATTGGCAATAATCGACTTACTGATCCCATTGATTGTGCAGTAAGGTGGCTCTCAACATGAATGATGACGGAGAACTCTGGCCCATTGTATCAATGGGATTATTTTCAGAATAAGGACACCACAAGTATATCTTGACAGGAAGTGACCTTTAGATGGTATTTTGTAAAGGATGAAGTTGGTATTGATAGAGACGAATCTCAGTCATTCAATGTTGTACAAGTCTATCATGTACAGTGCTGACTTTCAGGCAAGGAAGAAAAATCTACTACATTTTAAAACAAAGAATTAAAGCAGAAAAAAACATGAGATGAAAGGTCAGATCTTACAGCCTTTACTCAGGTGAGTAATCCCATTGAAGTCAGTAGGATTTCATATATAAGGGCTGCAAGATGGGACCCTGATTTTCTAAAAGATGCTGTCATTAAAAAGAAGAATTTCCATGAAGGGAGGAATCAGAGGCTGTTATTTTATTTCAGTGGTGCAATGGCAGGAGGCAGGACATCTTGCCTTGATCGTGGGGTTTGTACATCCAGGGAACACTTTTAAACTAGGACAGTTTGGGTGAACGTCCACATACTTACAAGGATTGGCTGAAAATGAAACAGAGCATAAGATTAGGTATTAACAAGAGGAGGGGGGAAAAAGCCCCATGCTGTTTCCTTTAAAGCATATTTTGACTCAATAAGTATTTTTCACTGTATTTTTTTTCTGTTCAGTTTTATTTGTTCCCCAGTAAAGTTGTAGAAGTCTAACAGAAAAATTGTTCACTTAGTTTAAGGCAATTTATCAGGTGCAGCAATACTTTGTTTTAATACAGCTTATTACAATACAATTACAAGACAAGTCAGGTCAGTCACATTTTAATAAGACTAGATCAGTTCTTTCTCCTTCTATTTCCCATAAGAGTTTTGTCCCAAGAATGAGCTATCCAGATTTGCAAACCTAGTGTATTCTGTGAAGTGTATCATTATATCTTCCTGGTAGTCCTGGAGGAAGAAGTCATATGGAACTGTCCTACTTCTCTTGTACCTTTGCCCAGGGGCTTGGCACAGTCTCACTTGGAGAGCAGCCATACTGTCCCTTTATTCCCAGAAGCATTGTGCCTGCCTCAGGTGCAGCACCTCCAGGAGTTTGTGGCTCTCAGAAGTTACAACTGCAAAATCCATTGCAGGTTTTTCTATATACTCTGCAGTTCTTAGTGTACAAATACAAGTGGCTTTGGTTTTTAGCAAAAGGCACTGACAGTCTACCACATAAGAATGGGGGACGAGAGCCGCCTCTCTCTGCCTGGGGAGGAACATTAGGAGACATAGCAGGTGAAACACTCAGCCATTGGGCCAGCTTTTTCTCGCACACTCCCTGGCAGCTGCTGCAGTTAGAGAGGCACCACAGCAATCTTGGAAGAAATTTGTTGTTCAGAGGCAAAGGGGGCTAATACACGAAACACAAAGCGCTGGAATGTGCCAATGCTCACTCACGTGGTGGAGACTGAGTTCCACTGGCTTCAGTGGAGCTACTTGCATAAGTAAGTGCTCACCAGGGTGAGGAAAGGTTCCACACTGAGGCTGGAAAACTATTACCCAGAATGAGAGGTAGGAAAATGCCATTTTCCCTCATGGACTGGATCAGTGTTTCTCAAACTGGGGTCGCCGCTTGTGTAGGGAAAGCCCCTGGCGGGCCGGCCCGGTTTGTTTACCTGCCCCGTCTTCAGGTCCAGCCGATCGTGGCTCCCACTGGCCGCGGTTCGCTTCTCCAGGCCAATGGAAGCTGCTGGAAGCAGCGCGGGCCGAGGGACGTACTGGCCGCCGCTTCCAGCAGCCCCCATTGGCTTGCAGTGGTGAACCGCGGCCAGTGGGAGCCGCGATCGGCTGGACCTGCGGACGGGGCAGGTAAACAAACTGGCCCGGCCCACCAGGGGCTTTCCCTACACAAGCGGCGACCCCAGTTTGAGAAACACTGCACTGGATGAATGACTCGGTCTAAAACCCTTGAGGGAACTTGCTCATGCCATTGTAGGTGTTAAATATTTTTAACATTGTCACAAGTTCCTTTTTTTGGGGTGGGGGGGGGGGGGTGGCGGAGGTATGGAACTTAATGATCTCCTGGCTCATATTAAGCAGCATATGCCCAGCTATATTTCTCTCTCTATAATCTCTCTATATAAACTTACTCCACAAGTTCTCTCATTGATTTCAATAGAATTCATTATATACTTATGTGGTGCCTAGCACAACAGGGTCCTGGCCCATGATCATGGCTCGTAAGCACTATCATAAAGCAAATAATAAATATGAACAATTGCAAAGTCCTATTCAGTACAGAATCATAGAAATGTAGGGCTGGAAGCGACCTTGAGAGGTCATCTGCCCCCATGCTGAGGCAGCATTAAGTATTCCTAGACCATTCCTGACATACTTACCTAGCCTGTTCTTAAAAAAAAACAAACCAAAAAACCTTCCAATGACGGGGATTCCACATCCTCCCTAGTAACCTGTTCCCATGCTTAACTATCTTTACAGTTAGAAAGATTTTCCTACTATCTAACATAAATCTCCCTGACTATAAACTGAGCCGATTACTTCTTGTCCTACCCTGGGAGGACGTGCAGAACAATTGATCAGCATCTCCTTTATAATGAAATTTGACATATCTGAAGAATGTTATCATGTCCTCCTCAATCTTCTCTTCTGATGGGGACACGATAACGTTATGACAGTCCCCTGACAGGATAACTATCCCCTCTCAGAAGCCCTTACATGAGCCCCTACACATGCTCATTTTTAAATATAACATGGTTAGCAATGAGTGTGTGTAAGGACCTCGCAGTCATGTTCTGTAGGCAAGATTTTTGAGTTGATAATTTCTCAAAGCCTTCCCACCAAGGGAATTAAACATTGTTTTAGTAAGTGACAACTTTGCCACTGCAATACTTCAAACTGCTAAAACTTACTGCATAGTCTGTTGTCACAAGCATTAGGGCAATCTCCACACACTGGCCCTGATTTGTAAGGTGTGCTCATTAGGTTTCTGTAATTCCCCCTGAAATGGTAAAATTAAACAGCATAAAATGTGAAGTCATCCTACAACACACATCTTCATTTACACTCAGGGGACATTTACACTGCAGTAGTGTGTGTGTGTGTGATTTGCTGGTTGTGTAGACAGTCCTGCACTAGTTCTAATCTAACCGCAATGCTAATGGAGCAAAGATGCCATGGGACAGGCTTCAGCACAGACTAGACAAGTGAGTATGTGCCCAGCAGGGTCAGGCAGGCTTATACAGCGTGGGCTGATGTCTGCTCTACCACACACTCACTGCTATATTTTGCAAGCTAGTGAGAATAAAACTAGCACAGACGCATCTACATGACTTGCAATCACATCCCTGGCTGCAGTGTAGACACACCCTTAGTCTGGTATGTGTCAAACAATAATTTCAAATGTCAAAATGTAAATATTAAAATGAATCAAAGGTGTATGACCAAATCCCATGCACTGCTTTGAAAATCTTACCCCGTTGTCTTTATTGTTAATGATTAAGGCTACGTTTTAGTCAAAGGTATTTTTAGTAAAAGTCATGGACAGGTCACGGGCAGTAAACAAAAATTCATGGCCCCTGACCTGTCCATGACTTTTACTAAAAATACCAGTGACTAAAACTTGGGTGGGGGGCCAATGGTGCTCGGGGGGGTGGGTGGTCTGGGGCGCCTTGGGTGCTGGGGACGGTGGCCCAGGACCCTGCTGGTGGTGGTGGTGGGGGGGGGGCGGCACCATGGTCCGGGGCCCCCGCCGAAGGGGGGGGGGGGGGGGGGTTGATGGGGCTGATAGGGGGCTGGGCTCCCTACCCACTCCACGTCCCTGCAGTTCCTAGGCGGTGGAGGGGCCAGGGGGCTCAGCATGCTGCTCCCGCCACAAGCGCCAGCTGCCACAGTGCTCACTGGCCAGGAACCACAGCCAATTGGAGCTGCGGGGGCAGGACCTGTGGGAGCGGGCAGTGTGCAGCACGGAGCGGCCCCTGACCCCTCCGCTGCCTGGGAGCTGCAGGGCCATGCCAGTGGGAGCTGGGGAGACCCTCACTCTGAGGTAAGCACCCCCCCCACACCTCCCAACCCCCTGCCTCTGGCCCTGAGCCCCCTCCCACACACCCAAACTGCTGCTGCTGGCCCAGGGGCTGCCCCACTCGGGCAGCCCCTGAGTCAGCACCAGTCGCTGCAGAAGTCACGGAGGTCACAGAAGGTCATGGAATCTGTGACTTCTGTGACCTCCGTGACAGACTCGTAGCCTTATTAATGATAGATTGCTTACAATACTTGCAAGTGCTTATGTGCCATCCTGAGTAGCGGGCTCGCAATGACCAGCGCTGCTACTTCAAAGGAAGGTGCAAGAAACCTTGCAGGAGGCAGTTAGTAGATAACATGTCCTAGGGAAAGTTTCTTGCAGGCCCCTATTAGTTAGAAATACGAGCATCTTCTTTTTCACTTACCCGGCTGTTAAGAAAAAATGCTTAGATTTTTGAGCAGAGCAGACCTCACTGGGCAATTATTGGGGGGTTTGTGGGTTGTTTTATTTCAAAATGTAATTTGCATGTATGCTTCTGCATACCATTATTACTGAATTGCTCCTCTGACCATAAGCCCACTTTAAAAAATATGCTGCATTTTGCAATGTAGCTGACAGCTCCTTGGGTCATTTTGATGAATTAAAGCACTAAGGAATTCCGATAATCAATGAAATCCATAGTTAATACATACGCAGGGCAGTAATGGCAAACGTAATAGTATTTGTAAAATCTCTGAGGACAATAGGCAATTGCACAACCAATCTGGTAAGACTTGTACCAAACCACCTGGAGAGAGAAGAGTAAATAAATGAGTGAATATGAAGGGCTCTATATTTTTAATATAATAAAATATACATTTAAAAGCATTTTCCTATGAAGTTGAGATTTGGGCATATTATCTTATTACACAGTGTAGCAGAATATGTTACATCTTGTAGGAAAGGAAACAGAAACACTATGTAGTTTTCATATTGTCTTATTCACCCTTCATAGAAAACCATCTAGGATGTAATTGGAATGAAACCCAAGCAACATAGTAGATTCTCAGTCACCTGGAGTTTTTAAATCAGGCATAGACATACAAACATATACACTGGTTCAACCACAAATTGTTGGACAAGAGGCAGGAATCAGTAGATAAAATTATCTACTCTGTGTTACACGCAACTGGTGAGACTAGATGGTCATAATGGCTCCTTCTGGTCATGAAATCTAAGACAATACAATTGTACAGAGCGTTTGTAAACCAATCTACAGATGTTTATCTCTCTAGGTTCTTATCTCGCCCCCATTCCAGTAATAATCAAATGCCTCCAAAAAATTTACAAATATAAATTAAGTCTCTTTTACACTTACTTCTTTCCTAGCCTGTAGGGGAATTAGCTTGATTAGTTTATAAGTAGTGCATGAGAGTGAGTGTGTGTGTATGGGTCTGAAGAATGTATTGAAGGAAAGATGATGTTAATTTAGGGCCTGAACAACAACAGCAAGAACAACATTACTCCCACAAGAAAAAAAATCTAGTAGGTTATCTAGTCTCTCTCTCTCTCTTTGCCAATGTGGTATTGTTCCCTACAATTTATGGAGCTTGGTCTAGCCTAGTTTTAAATTATGCAAGCCATACAGTTTCCACCACGTTCCTTGGTCTAACAGACCTCACTGTGGGGAAATTGGTCATAATATTTAGTCTACAGTTTCCATAGTTTTATTTTGTTTTTTGTCCCATTACTTTTGTTCTGTTGGAATAATTCTTATCCTTTATGGTGTTTATTCCCTTTAAGTATATTGAGGCTGTTATTTCTCCTACCCCTGGTAATCACAGAATCATAGAATATTAGGGTTGGAAGAGACCTCAGGAGGTCATCTAGTTCAATCCCCTGCTCAAAGTAGGACCAACACCAACTACATCATCCCAGCCAAGGCTTTGTCAAGCCGGGCCTTAAAAACCTCTAATCATTTAGCCAAGCATGTATCAGTTAAAACATGAATATGACAAGTGGTGTTATGGTCCTTTACCTGAGTATAATGGCCAATCACTGCACCTGGTGTGGTTGACCCAATGCCATATATGAAATTTCCCACCTCACTGTACCAGGCTTGAATTGCATCTGACCAGGAATTGGGTGCAGTTGACATGTAGAGATTTTCGCCACAGCCCACTGCTGAAAATGGAAAGGAAACCATTCACAAAAGCTGATGAAAGGGGCTTAAGAAGATACAAAAGCTTCAGCATGTGGGGAGAACCAGTAGAAGATTCAGGAATTTCTAGGAGAGCCTGGTGGGAAGAATCTATTTCATTTCCTGAATACCCCACATTTTACAACCCTGGCCTCTGTCATTCTTCAGGTCATGAGTGAATAGTGTTGGGTAAATTCCAGCGGTTCAAAGGTTACCTTTGGTTCTCATAAGTATTCAAAGATTCAGATGTTTATCTGAACTTTCACGGCAGCGATAAGTTAGCAGAACCCAGATACACCAAAATGCCAACATATCCCTAAAACTCTGAGATCCATCCACTCTGGACAGACATTGCTGCCAGCACAAATAAACTTCTTGACATTGCCCCCTTGTTCCTTGTCTAATAATATATAGAGATATACCTATCTCATAGAGCTGGAAGGGACCCCAGAGGGTCATTGAGTCCAGCCCCCTGCCTTCACTAGCAGGACCAAGTACTGATTTTGCCCCAGATCCCTAAGTGGCCCCCTCAAGGACTAAACTCACAACGCTGGGTTTAGCAAGCCAATCTCAAACCACTGAGCTATCCCTCCCCACATCGTGAATAGTCACATATTGGCCCAGCCTTCTTGTTTCCTCCATAAACTATGTCCAGATTTTAAGGATCTACTGTTAATCCATCCTGGTGTTTGGTATAAAAATATTGGGAAAATAGGATTTCTTGAAAAGATTCTTAAATCAGGAGTAACTCCATAGATGTCAGTGGAATTACACCAGTGTAAAACTAGTGCAACGTGGATCAGAATCAAAGCCTAAATTTGGATCTGGATTCTAACTTTCTCATGTGTCAGGAGTGTTCACGTCCGGTCTTGCTTTGGATTCACTCTTGAATCAATCATAAACTCAAATTAACAATAGCCTTGTTCATCACTCTGTGAACAAATGCAAGTGACCTCAATTCAAAGAGATTTACCTTCTCACCAAGCACTTTTCATATTATTAGAGCTGTTTGGGGATAAAGAATGGGAGGAGGGGGATTGGAAGGAGATAAATCTAAAAAAAAAATGAATTTTTTTCCCAATTTTTCTTCAGAAGTTAAAAATGGTGAAATTTCTTGGAAATTTTTCATTATTTCTTTGATGTTGAAATTATAGTCAATATTCAAAAAAATGTTGCATATGCAGAATAGATGAATCCATACACTCCAGTGTTATAAATGTTATTCATTCAGCAAAATATTAATACCACTTAAATATGAATGGGGTTACATTATCTGCAAATTGTTTGTATAATGAGTTGAATGAAGCATTGTTCATTTAAAAGTGATACTTTACTTACTAGTTGTCCTTCTGTTTGGGGGACTATGGGATAAAGTACATTGATTTGCCCAACTCTTGGCATTCTTTGCAGCTGCCGGACTCCATTCCTTAATTAAATGAGAAACATTAGGTGTTCAGATGTGTACCTCTTTGTACTTCGTAATGCAGAACATAGAAGAGGACATACACTTGGGAATTGCATTTTCAGTGTTTAAAATTTTCTTGACAATTCCTTCTCTCTCATTTGGGCAGTAAAATGAGGAGCAGCTCAGTAGCTGCACACCTTAGGAGAAGGCTAGATATCATGGTGGTTAGCTAGATGGAGAATACATCACAGGGCAACCTGGGAGACCAGACCTAGTGGTTTTTCCCTTCAGTTCAAAAGGAGATATCATTTTTCATAAGCAACAAGATTTGTCATATCCAACATTCTCCCTTCCCCTACTAACTCCTATGTTCATTAACTTTTTATCAGGGAAAGGATTCAAATGGCATGTTTTCTGCCAGGGGATATGCTATGCCCTTCCAAATTCTCTAGTAACATTGATAGGGTTTGTATGCATTATAGATTGCTTTGCAAAATGCATCTTACCATCCTCAGCATGTTGCTAGCGGTTGGCATCACCCCTCTTCTTAAGGCATTGTGCTTGTCAACAATCTCCTTTTGTCGATATGCGTTGTCAGTTGACAAAGAAGCTAAACCTGGAGTCTAAATTAAAGGAACGTACAATAGTTTTTCCTGTATTTGGTTGTGTGAGTTTAAAATATTTTAATGTAAACCTAGGAATCAATTCCAATTAATGTGTCCTTAAAATATTTCATGAACTAATTATGTGTATAAACTTAATTTCATCAGAATGAATCTGTCAATCATTGATTAATTAATTATAGATCAGATTCTAATATCTTTATTCTATGCTATATAGCACCTTACTTCACGTGTGGTCCCAGTGAGTACAATTTAGCAATCAGAAACTGATAGTGTTATCTAATCTTAGAATTTTTAGACTGCCAAATTCTTTGAAATATATTGGGCCAAATACAATTCTGTTAAAGATAGGAAAACTCCACTGAATGTGTTATTATTTATTTATTTACTAGGGCTGTCAATTAATCGCAGTTAACTCACGTGAATAACTAAGAAAAATTAATTGCAATTAAAAAAATAATGGTGAATAATCGCAGTTTTAATTGCACTGTTAATAGAATACCAATTGAAATTTATTAAATATTTTGGATGTTTTTCTACATTTTCATATATATTGATTTCAATTACAATACAGAATACAAAGTGTGTGTAATTTTTTTGTTACATATATTTGCACTGAGAAGGGATAAATAAAAAAAATAGTATTTTTCAATTCACGTCATACAAGTACTGTAGTGCAATCTCTTTGCTGTGAAAGTGCAACTTACAAATGTAGATTTTTTTGTTACATAACTGCACTCAAAAACAAAACAATGTAAAACTTTAGAGCCTACAAGTCCACTCGGTCCTACTTCTTGTTCAGCCAATCGCTCAGACAAACATGTTTGTTTACATTTACAGAAGATAATGATGCCCTCTTCTTATTTACAGTGTCACCAGAAAGTGAGACCAGGCGTTTGCATGGCACTTTTGTAGCCAGCATTGCAAGGTATTTAGGTGCCAGATATGCTAAACATTTGTATGCCTATTCATGCTTCAGCCACCATTCCAGAGGGCACGCTTCCATGCTGATGACACTCATTAAAAAAATAATGCATTAATTAAATTTGTGACTGAACTCCTTGGAGGAGAATTGTATGTCTCCTGCTCCGTTTTATCTGCATTCTGCATATATTTTGTTTAATAGCAGTCTTGGATGATGACCCAGCACATGTTCATTTTAAGAACACTTTCACTGCAGATTTGGCAAAACTCAAAGAAAGTACCAACATGAGATTTCTAAAGATAGCTACAGCACTTGACCCAAGATTTTAGAATCTGAAGTGCCTTCCAAAATCTGAGAGGGATGAGGTGTGGAGCATGCTTTCAGAAGTCTTAAAAGAGCAACACTCTGATGTGGAAACTACAGAACCCAAACCACCAAAAAATAATATCAACTTTCTGCTGGTGGCATCTGACTCAGATGATGTAAATAAACATGCATCGTCCGTACTGCTTTGGATTGTTATCGAGAAGAACCATCCGTGAAAATACCATGAAATGTTTCAGTTCTTTAGTATACTATAGAATTTCTTCATGATTGTGAATGTTATACATAAGGTTACCAAACAGTTTTCTTTGTAACCCTCTGTTTTCCCAGTTATGACTATCTAAGCTCGGTCAGTATTACTGCATGTGTGTGTCATTTCACTTTTCATTTGTAAACCTTACTCAGCCTCAGGGTCTTAGGCCCTGATCCTATGATTGCTTCTTCATGTGTCTGACTTTACTCACATGAGTAATCCTATTGCTAATGAGAGGACTACTTATGTGAGTAAAGTTAATCTGGAAAGTATTTGCAGAATCTGTCCTTCAGTTCAGTGGTTCTCAACCAGGTATATGTGTATCCCTGAGGATACGCAGATGTTTTCAAGGGGGTACATCAGCTCATCTAGATATTTTCCTGGTTTTATAACAGGCTACATAAAAAGTACTAGCAAAGTCAGTACAAACTAAAATTTCATACAGAAAATGACTTTTTTTTACTGCTCAATATACTATACACTGAAATGTAAGTACAATATTTATATTCCAATTGATTTATTTTATAATTATATGGTAAAAATGAGAAAGTAATAATTTTTCAGTAACAGTGTGCTGTGACACTTTTGTATTTTTATATCTGGTTTTGTAAGCAAGTAGTTTTTAAGTGAGGTGAAACTTGTGGGTACTCAACACAAATCAGATTTCTGCCAGGGGTACAGTAGTTTGGAAAGGTTGAGAGCCACTGCTTTAGTTTGCCTTGAACACTTATGCCATTTAAAGGATTTAAGTGCTTGTATTGCTTTAGGGACTTAACTGGGTTTAAAATTTCACCCTCCACCCCCTCAAAAATGGGTCAAAATCAACATGAAATGCTTTGAAATAACTGAAGTGGAACATTTCAAATGACGTAAAAATGATTTTTTATTTATCAGTTTGCAAACATATTTGACATTTTTACTTTTCATTGTGATTCAGAAATCTCAAAATATTCATGGGATTGGAAAAATGTTTCCCACCCAACTCTCGTCCTACCTGTCCGGTGGATGGCTGCAGCACAGCAGCCAGGCCCAGGAATGCAGCCAGCAGAATCATCTCTGAAAAGGGAAGAACAACCTGCTTAGTTCTCTTTCCTGCCTATAGCTTATGTTTATTTAAATACATCCCAGCAGAAGCATGCTGCTATGTGCTGTATATGTCTGGGGTTTTTCTCAATCAGAAAGGTAGTGGTTTTGTCACCAGGTCTTTATACTAGAGAAAAAAATGCTCCTTTCTTTCTCTCTCTGTTACTTCTAACAGCACTATGAGCCAACCAGGAACCCATGTTTTTCTCACAGTACATGCTCCTCTACTAGAGGGTTTTCCTTTCTACTAAGTTAAGTGTAGAGGGATGTCCTAATTTCCCTGCATGGAGGAAGGGGAGACATTACTACTGCTGCCACTCTGTCTTCGGGCTTTAGTTATGTGGGGACAGGTTTGGTTTCTAACCAGAGCTCCATAGGAATCTTCTCTGTGGAGACTGCAGAGGGGATGCACTGAATTAGCACGTGCGCTACCCACCTTTGCAATACTCCCTTCCTAGCCACTTATGGGATTGCACTTGCCCATACTGTCCATCCCATTGTGGAGGGGATGCTGAAGACATGGTACCATAGCTGCCTCCTCAGCAGATTTTCTACTGCTGGGGACATGCACCTGAGGTTACAGCAGCAGAAGCCAGTGCAAACCTGATTTGAATTTAGCCCCTTCGATTTTGTTCAAACCAATGCCCTTTGTTTATAATTGAAAGCAGGGAGGTGGCCATCTGCATGGAAGGAAAATAAGGTTTAGGGCTAGATGGTAACATTAGATACAACCCTGAGCAAGGGGTGGTGTATAAGCTCCCAGAAGTATCCTTAGGAGACATCCTTCTCTGACTCAATTCCTTCTGTTTTCTCCTTGCTCCTCAGGATAGTAATTTATTGCTGGTCTATAGCACCAATGTAAACTTCTACCTCCAGCTCCCACAGCTTTCCTCGTGACTCTGGCCAGTGAGTAAGGGCAGGAGCTGAGTCTCTGTTCATTCCCCTTCCACCTGCTCTGGGGAGAGAGTAAGTGGGTAAGTAACTCCGTCTACACCTACCCCATCTTTGAGTAGCTCACGTGAGAATGCTGAGGGGGGATTCCTTCTCCCCAGTGTGAATGCATAGTCCTAGTCACAATCTGGCTCAGGGGTCGGCAACCTTTCAGAAGTGGTGTGCTGAGTCTTCATTTATTCACTGTAATTTAAGGTTTCACGTGCCAGTAATACATTTTAACGTTTTTAGAAGTCTCTTTCTATAAGTCTATAATATTTAACTAAACTATTGTTGTATGTAAAATAAACAATGTTTTTAAAATGTTTAAGAAGCTTCATTTAAAATTAAATTAAAATGCAGAGCCCCCCGGACCAGTGGCCAGGACCTGGGCAGTGTGAGTGCCATAGGTGGCCTATCCCTGATCTAGCTGAATAACTGAGACGAATAAACGTTGATGTGTTTGCTGTGTTCATGTTCAAAGGGTAGGTGATTAACGACCAGCACTGGAATATTGCTATAGATCAGGAGCTGGGCCAGGGATTGTGTCCCAGGAAAGATAAATTGTTTCAGGACTTTTGTTATAGAAGGTTTGCTCATAGCATAATTGTGTGAATGGGAGACAGCAATGATGACCTGTTGGGATGCAAGGCTGCCCTTGAGGTCCACCTAGGAGCCGTATCCAGTGCAGAATGCAGCTGCCCACTTCTTGCCCTGTACAGGACTCTCAGCATATGAGAGGTGTGCTTGAATCCTTACACTGCATTTCTCTCTGATTCTGGGTGCAATTCAAAAAGTGCTCGGGAGTATTTTCAAATCCTTGTAAGGCCCAGGACACAATTATCTCTGGGGATCTTTGCTCCCTGTCATTGTAGTTAGGATCTGCTTGGAGGCTTTGGCTCTCAGTACCTGTGGTTTAATCGGCTTGGGCTAGTGGCTGGGCTGCAACTCACTTCCATTGGTCCTGTGCCCAAGTCCCAGTCTAAGTAGGCTTAAGTGTCTGATGCCAGGTTGATTTATTATTAGCTTAGTTTTATATTTGGTTTAGAGGGAGGTTGATGGTTGTGGTTTAATGTATTCCTGGTAAAATGATGATGGGGTTAGCTGACATTACCATGTGCTGCAGAAGTGGGTCTCTAGAGCTACTTGCAAAGAGAGCACGTTGACAGGGTGCGTGGGGGGAAAGCAGGTTGCACTTTTCCTACCAGTATAGCCAGCTCCACTGCTCACCACATTGCTTGTATGATGCTGGAAGCAACGGGCCATATCCTTACTTGTAGCTCTATCAACTTCAGTCTCTAAAACTGTATTGGCGTCAATGAAACTCAATCCATTTACACCGGGTAAGGAACTGGTCCATTATGTCTTCCACAATCTTAATGTCTGCTTGCACTCCTCTTGGCTTCGACAAGGTATTGTCTAGCTGTAGACTTATCTGATGCGAGGTATTGGCAGTCTAGTAGTATACTTGCCTTGTGACATTGTACTCTAGTAGCTGACTCATATGGAGGATAAGGGACCTTCTACTGCTACCATTAAAAGAGTTTCTGCTGTAGCTGAACTGGTCTAGTAGTGTGTTTTCTGCAATTTTAGAACCAAGGTTGTAATCTCAGCTCCCCAAATACAGATATGAACATACAAAGTATCTATAATTGTATATGTCTGTGGCATATGGATTCATTATGGGCCAGTTTCTCAGCTGGCAATGAAACTATGTTCATTTTCACTATCTAAGGATCTGGCCTTAACTTCTAAAACTAAACAGTTTAATGCTGATCCTTAGGGTAAATATATGTAATTTTTCTTTCCTGGTAATACATTTTCTGGTACGGCGTTGGTTTGACTTTAAGGTATAATTAGTACACATTTGTTATCTTATAACTTTACCTTACTATTTCCAAATATAATATTAGGCATGACTGCACCAGTACTTGAGATTAAAGAAATATTCTTAATAAAATGATTCCCCCCCCCCCGCATTTCATTCTGCACTAGACAATAGGAGGATTTTTTGGTAAATTTGTAGCTGTACACAAGTATTTCAAGCTAAAATGTGTCTGTTTTCAGGTGGAACCGGGCCACTCTTAGAGCAAACTGTGCTCTTATCCAAGTGGAAAAAATGAATTTTTCACATAGAAGTGACTTTGGCATTAAAAACTTGGGAAAATATATGCTGTGGCATGTTCTGAGGTGAAAATAACCAACTCATAGAGATTGTGAATATGGTTAAATTTGCACATAGGACTGAGAATCTCCCCAAAGGAAATGGCAAAAATGTTCATTCTAAAATTTTGTAATAAAAACAAAATATAATGATGAGTTTTTTACATGATTCCTACAAAATTACAAAAATGCCTGCAGGATCCTATTGGGTGTCAATAGGACTCCTACTTACTTAGATGTTTTCAAAAACCCCGTCCTTTTCACCCAAATGCTTATGCTTTAGACTAGAGGTTCCCAAACTTTTCTTATTGCATAGCCCCTTCCAGATCTACCAGCTGCCAGTATACTCCTACCCTTCTCATCACTGATACTTTGTGTGTTCTTCGTAACACTACCTGTCTTTAACCAGCTGTCCACATTTCGTTGTTATGTACAGATATAGTTATAGTGCAATGTATACAACTGTAAAAAACCCTGATTAAGTTCTGAGCTCAGTTAGACTGGACAGCTTCTGAGTAATGGAACCCGTGCTGTACGGTGATTGGAGGGGAAGGTGCCGTATGTCAGCGTCTTTGCGTATCTGTGTTCCCATTGGTACATCTTAAAGTAAATTAACCGTATTTTTATTTAACTGTATTGTACATAACAAACTCCCACTGAGTTTTAAAGCTTCATCTCAGTAGCCTATTATGAAAATGCAATAAATAAAATAATGAATAAATAAAACCCACCATTACACAATTTCTCCCACATACTCCCTCCCCCAGCGGCTTACGTACCACAGTTTGGGAACCCCTGCATTAGAAGCTGTAAACCTAGTTGCTTGGAGAGTTAAACTTTAGAGCCTGATCCTGCAATCAGCTCTGTGCTCCGTACATGTGCAAAGTCCCATTGACATCATGGGGCTGATCCATGCGCACCATTGCAGGATCAGTACCGTAATACCTCCAGCCTGTATTATTTCAGCATTACAGGCAGAAATCTTCTTGTGTGTGCTTCTGTTCCCCTCCCAAGGACTGAGTCTTGGAAAGACTCAATCTAGCCTAAACTATTCATACAAACCGGCTGTCTTCCTCTCTTACAAAAGTGCAGCCCCCCAATTCATTATTTATTATCTAGTGAAACTGTTTTATAATTATACACACTACAATTGTTCTTTAGGTAGCTTTCTATATGTGCAAGGTAATTTACAGCTATGTAAGGAGACAGGATCCCTGTCCTGAAGAGAATTTTATCTAAGCCAACAGTGCACACAAAGAACTGGAATTTAAACATATCTATTATTTAATACCCCTGCTTAACTGCTGCTTTATTGCCTAGTCACATCGTGTAAAGGACACTTTTTATTGTTTCTTGATTCTTTCCATATTTTCTCTTCTTACTTTGGCTAACCCTTTCCCTATATTTTACCCTTCCTCATTTCATTGAGAAAAAATCCAGGCATTAGGTTGCTCTGAGTGCCTGAATGTTTCAGACAGCCTTCTTTGTAGCAGATTATATTTTAAAACCTGAGAATAAGGTCTCCACATGTTAAATAAAGGAATGTAAATCTTACCTTTCCTTTCTGGGAAGACAGGAAATGTCTTCTGCACCTTTCAAGAGTTGGTGGAAGTGAATGGATTTCTTCACTGGAGCATGATATATAGCTCACCTGTTTCCTGCTTTGGCAAGGTGACTCAGCGTCACAGCAGATTTAATAAAACCCTAATTGGAACGGGGTAGAACACTGGGTTTGTTGTACACTCTTCCAAAAAGATGTTATTTGCATTTGATTTTTACTTCCTAATATTGTGTATTTGGAAAGCGCCAAGAAATCTCTGCTTCCAATTAAGCAGCTGACCTGAGTTTCTTATACATTGCTAATTACACCTCTACCCC